TCGCGGCCGACATCGAGCCCACGGCGGCGCCGACGATGACGCGCGTCGCGGGCTGCCCCGTGCTCAAGCCGCTGCCCGCGAGCGAGTGCCCCGCGTCGCGCCAGGACCTCGACATCGGCGACTGCCTCACGGCGGGCCTGGCCCTGGGCGACCTCTGCGAGGGCGACGGCGAGTGCGGCACGTCCCAGTACCTCGACAACTGCATGACGGGCGACATGTACGTCGTCGTCGCGGCGTCCGAGGTCTCCGTCGAGGTCGTCCAGATCCACCTCACGGAGGACGACGACGCGGCGTCCGCGGCGACGGCGCGCCGCCGGCTCGAGGACGGCGAGCTCAGCGACTTCTGCGTCGAGTTCATGGCCGACTACGACGCGCTGCCGCTCGACCAGTTCGCGACGTTCGTGCTCATCACGTTCGCCGGCTGCGACGAGGCGGTCGAGCCCTACATCGAGACGTACTGCGACGACGACACGATCACGCACGCCGTGAACGTCGACTGCGACTTCGACGTCGCCGCCGTCGCCGCCGACGTCCGGGCCTTCGCGGCCGACGGCGACGCGCAGGCAGAGTTCGCCGCGGAGACGAACAGCACCGCGAACGCGTCGGACGTCGCGGCCGCGCGGCAGGCCATGGCCGACTTCGTGCTCAAGTACCCCATCATCGCCATGGACGTCCACGCCATCGACCTCACGTCCACGTCGAACAACAAGAAGAGGACGGTCCACGACATCGGCCCGGCGGGCCTCGCCGCGATCCTCGTCGTCGTCCTCGCCTTCGTCGCGCTGCTCCTCCTCCTCTCCGTGAAGATGCAGCACGACCACGAGCACCGCCAGCCCATCAAGGCGCTCGCGCACAAGCTCAACGCCGAGGTCCACGTCATCGAGAAGCGCCTGAGCTTCAAGGCCCACGGCCTCATGCACCTCGGCCTCGACGGCGGCGACGAGGACAAGGTCGCGCTCCTCAACAAGGAGCTCGCCGAGAGCCACGCGCGCGTCGCCGCGCTCGAGACGGAGCTCCAGGCCGCCCAGGCCCAGCTCGAGGGCAGCAAATCCCTCACGCCCATCGCCGCGGCGTCCATCGAGGAGGGGGACATCGCGCCGCCGCCGCTGGGCTGGGGCTGCGGCGTCGCGTCCCCCTGAGCCCCCCCGCCGAGCCCGGACGCCCGCCACCGAGGAGCAGTACCGAACGGCCCATCCCCACTGGCAACCCCCCCCTACCCCTGCGTGCGACCCAACCAAAAACGCGAGAGCCCTACGCGGCTCTGCAGCGTACGCGTCAAGACCCAGACCTACCTGTCCGTTCTTAACGATCCTCCCTCTACCGCCGACTTCAACGTCCATACCTGATTTCACGTTTGCTTTCAACGGTCCCGAGCTCGACCGCTCAGTCGGGGCTGCCCGCGTCGACATGGCCAGAAGGTCGGGCGCGATGCGGTTCCTCGCTTGCCTCCTCTCCAGCGCATCGGCGCAGCTGCCGGCCTACGCGGCGTGGCCCATGAAGGGCGGCAACGCGAAGCACTCCGGCAACGGCCTCGTCGCCGGGGCCGACAACGGCCTGTCGGTGTTCGCGTACGAGACCGGGGGCCGGGTGCAGTCGTCGCCGGCCGTGGGCGCCGATGGCACGATCTACGTCGCCTCGGAGGACGGCTCCCTCTACGCGCTGCGCCCGGACGGGTCGCTCGAGTGGACCTACGACACGGGCGGCGCCGTCGCCTACTCGTCGCCGACGATCGACGCCGCGGGCGTGGTCTACGTCGGGTCGAGCGACGGAGGCCTCCACGCGGTCAACGCGGACGGGACGCGCAAGTGGCGCTACGAGACGACCGGCTCCGCGGGCCAGTCGTCGCCCGCGGTCGACGCGGACGGCGTCGTCTACGTCGGGTCCGGCGTCGGCGCCGACGCGGGCGCGCTGTACGCGGTCAACGGCGACGGCACGTTGAAGTGGTCCTACTCCGTGGGAGACAACGAGATCTCCTCGTCGCCGGCCGTGGACGACGACGGCGTCGTGTACGTCGGGTCGAACTGGGACAGCGCGGTGCACGCGGTGCACGCCGCCGACGGTTCCTTAAAGTGGAAGTTCGTCGCGGGGGGAGGCTACTTCATCCAGTCGTCGCCCGTCGTCGCCGACGGCGTCGTCTACGTCGGCTGCTACACCAACGCGCTCGACGTGTCCCTGTACGCGATCGACGCCGCCGACGGCGCCCAGAAGTGGTCCTACCGGACCGGCGCGTACGGAAACGTCGCGACGTCGTCGCCCGCCGTCGGCGCGGACGGCACCGTCTACGTCGGGTCGACGGACGGGGGCCTCTACGCGCTGCACGGCAACGGCACGCTCAAGTGGACCTACGCGACGGGCGCGACGATCTCCTCGTCGCGTCGTCGGCGAGGACGGCGTCGTCTACGTCGGCTCGAACGACGACCGGCTCCACGCGGTCAATCCCGACGGGACGATGGCCTGGACCTACGCGACGGGCGGGTTCGTCGTCTCCACTCCGGCCGTCGACGCGGACGGCGTCGTCTGGGTCGGCAGCGACGACAGCAAGGTCCACGCGGTCGGTCTCACGGCCGCGCACGCGACGACGGTCCTGTCGCGCGCGCGCGCGGACGTCATGCGCAACGCGTCCGCCGACGCGCTCGACGCCCTGACGTCCCTCTGCTCGCTGGAGGCGGCGGCGGCCGCCGGCGTCCCGCGGCCGCGACGAGTTTCGAGAGATTTGGGGTGGGAGACCAATCGTCACCGTCGTGCTCGGTAGGCGGCCGCGGTCCCGGACGCGGAGGCCATGGTCACGTCCGCGTGCGCGAGCGCGCGCCGCGCGTCCGCCGCGTCCGCGTACGGCGCCGCGTGGGCCGGCTTCGTCGACCCGCTGAGCTACACGTACTACAAGGCCCAGATCGGCGCCGGCGGCGCGCTCATGGCCCTGCTCGAGGGCGACGAGGCGACGCTCGCCGCGTTCGAGGCCGCGGGCGCGACCGCGGCGGACCGCGCCGCGGCCGCCGAGGCCGCGGTCGCGGGCTACGACGCCGACAGCGCGAACTGGGGCGCCAAGACGTCGCGCGACGCCGAGACGCTCGCGGCCTACGCGACGGAGATCGTGGCCCTCGGGACGGAGATGGACGCGAAGTTCGCGATCATCCAGGACGACGTCGCCGCGGTGCTCGCGTCGCTCGAGACGTCGCTCGAGGCCTTGCAGACGCAGCTCAAGGAGGCGAAGGACGAGGCCGACGCGGAGGAGGCCACGTCCATCTTCTCGGAGATCTTCTCCGTCGTCGGCGCCGTCGTCAACATCGGCGCGTGCTTCGCCGAGGGCGAGGCGACGGGCGGCGCGGCGCTCCTCGCGTGCGGGCCGGACATCGTCGCGTCCGTCACCAACGTCGTCGACTCGACGAAGGACACCATCGACACCTTCGAGAGCGGCTGCGCGCCCTGCAAGTCCATCGAGGCGGAGCAGCGCCTCGTGGCGTCCGCGGCGGAGGACCTCGACCGCTTCGCGGACCTCGTCGCGGCCGCGCGGAGCCTCGAGTCGTGCCTGACCGCGGGCGCGCCGCTGCCGTCCCTCCTGCCGTCGCTCGTCGCCGACGAGCTCGACCTCGACTCGCTGCGCGCGTCGGCGGACGCGCTCGCGGACGAGCTCGAGCAGCTCGCGGGCGACTCGGGCGACGACCTCGCGGCCGACGTCCGGGACTGGATCGACCTGGGAGTCACGCGCGTGTCCCTTTTTCTCACCTACTACTCCCTCGCGTCGCGCCAGCTCGACGACGAGGGGTCGCTGACGGCGCTCGCGACGCGCACGGACGTCGTCAGGGCGCGGCTCGCGGCCGCGGACGACGCGGAGGCCGCGGCCGCGACGGCCGCGCGGCTCGTCGTCGAGCGCCAGCGCGCGCAGGCGTCCCTCGTGCTCCAGTACCTCTTCGAGGAGTGGAAGCAGTTCAACTACCTGAGCCTCGGCAAAGCCCCCACGTTAGACGTCCCCGAGAACCCGACGTCGACGGACATCCTGACGCTCCAGGTGGCCCTGGACGCGGCGATCGAGGCCGAGCTCCGCGAGCAGGCGGGCGCGGGCTCGACCTGGATCTATGTCGAGGTGAGCGCGGCCGCGGAGCCGTCGACCTTCGCCGCGCTCCGCGGCGACGCCTCCGCGGCGAACGTGTCGCTGCCGATCCCTCTGGTCAACGCGACGGACGCGAACGGGACGCGCGTCCTCAAGGCCGGCACGACCTACTACGAGATGCGCATGACCGACGTCTCCGTGTACTTGCTCGACGAGAATTCGACGGTCATCGGCGGGTCCAACGGCCAGGCGCAGATCGACCTCACGAAGGCCGGCGAGTCGTCGTTCTTCGACGCCGAGGGCTCGCTGTCCGTGTTCACGCACAAACCCGTCGAGTACGGGTCGGGCTTCTTCGCCTACGACTCCGCGAAGCAGTGCCCGATCACCGGCGACACGTGTGGTGACGCGCTCTGTCCGGACTACGTGCGCTACTCGCCCTACGGCAAGTGGAGCGTCGGCGTGCCGCGGCCCGATTTGCAGGGCATCGACATGGCCGCGGTCGACAAGCTGCGCTTCGAATTCCATGTCACCTACATGCGGGACGGCTTCACGCTGACCTACTTCGGCAAGGACCCGGCGCTCTACCCCCAGGGCCTCGGCTCGGTCTGCGACGACTCATGACGACCGCGCTGCCAAGTGCGCTGCCCAGTGAGCCTAGTAACTATTATTATTATTATGGGTGCTTTAACGTGGGACTAGGACGGTCGCCCGTGGGCGGCCGTCGGCGCGCGCGGACTACATGTAAGTCTTGCCTCAGTACTAGAGGTAACTAGGGATCACGAGCTATGAAATCCTGCTGTTGAATGGTTTCTAGCCGCCGCTCTCTAAGCGCGTCTGTGCGCGTCGTCTCGAGCCCCCGTTCGCCGACGCGGGGCCCGCGCCGGGCCTCGGGGTCCGGGGCCGCCGCCCGCCGCGCGCCGCCGCCGCGCCGCCGCTCGGGGCAGCGCCCATGATGGACGACTTCAGCCACGGGGCCATCCCGGCGTCGGGGCCCGGCCTCTTCTCGCAGGAGGCGTCGCAGCGGCGCGCCTGGTCGCGGAAGGAGGACGACGCGATCATGCGGCTCGTGTCCAAGCACGGGACGAAGCGCTGGGCGGTCATCTCCCAGGAGCTGAACAAGGAGGCGCGCCGGCCGCGTCCGGGCGCCGCCGCCGCGCGCGACGCCCGACGTCCCCCCCCCCCCGCGCGCAGGTCTCGGGCTTCCGGAGCGGCAAGCAATGCCGCACGCGGTGGCTCAACCACCTGGACCCGGGGATCAAGCGCGAGCCCTGGAGCGAGCACGAGGAGAACGTCATCTACGAGGCGCAGCAGCGGCTCGGGAACAAGTGGGCGGAGATCGCGAAGCTGCTGCCCGGGCGCACGGACAACGCGATCAAGAACCACTGGTACAGCACGATGCGGCGGAACATGCGGCGCCTCGCCAAGGAGTTCGCCGACGACTCGGGCTTCCCCGGCGGCGGCGACGGCGGCGGCAGCGACGCGGCCAAGGGCCTGTCGTGCGTCGTCAACTCCATGGGCCCGCGGTCCGCGGAGCTCATGCAGAAGTGCTGCGTCCAGATGGAGCGGCTCCAGACGCACAAGCTCGCGGAGAAGAAGGGCGCGAAGCGCAAGGCCAAGGGCGCGGCCGCGAGCCCGCGCGGCGCCGGCGGCGCCGCGGGCGACTTCGAGGTGCTGCCCATCCCGCTGGAGCCCGCGCACCAGCACAAGCACTTCCAGTACCTGCTCAAGCTCATGGGCGGGCCCGCGAACCGCCTGCCGACCGCGGACGCGTCGCGGGCCGTGCTCCGGCCCGTCGGCTTCACGGCGGCGGCGGGCCGCGCGTCGCCGGGCGTCGCGCCGCCGCCGCCGGCGCCGCCGCCGCCGCACCCGGCGCAGATGGTGCCGGGCCTCGTCCAGGTGCCCGGGGGCATGCCCGTGGCCTTCCCGGGCCAGCCCCTGCCGGGCACGCCCCTCGGCCTCGCGCCGCGCGGGCCCGCGGGCTTCCCGCCGCAGGGCATCCAGCTCCCGCCGGGCATGTCCCTGCCCCCGGGCGTCTGCATGTCGCCGAGCGGCATGCCCGTGGGCATGATGCACCCGCACCCGGGCATGGTCGGGCCCTTCGGGACGTCGATGATGATGGCGCCCCAGATGCTCGTCCGCGGCACCGCGTCCATGGCGCCGGGGTTCCAGGCCATGCCCATCGCCGTCACCTCGCCGACGGCCGGCGGCGCGAGCCCCGTGCAGTTCATCCCCGGCATGGTCCCGGGCATGGTCGTCCCCGGCGGCCCGCCGCCGCCCCTGGGCTCGCCGGGCCACGTGGCGCCGCCCGCGCCGTCCGCATCCTGAAGCCCGCCGGGAGCGACCACGTCCCCCGGCGGCCCCGCGGCATAAGCGCTGCCGCACGAGTCCGAGGGGGGGGCATGTTGTGTGCTTCAATTTAGGCTTCAACCTCAAACTTTCCAGCGGCTGCGACCACACCCGCGCACAGGAAGGCTTCCGCGGGCAGCGTCATCGACAACGCGACGATGGAGTTCATCAACGACCTCGGCGCGACGATGGTGTGCAGCAGGAACGATCCCGACGCCAAGCCCTACGAGCTGCTCTACTTTCCCATCTCCGGCCTCGCCGAGCCGATCCGCCTGGCGCTCGCCCTCGGCGGCCTCGAGTTCATCGACACGACGCCGCAGACGGACGAGACCTTCGCCGACCGCAAGGCGGCGCTCAGCCCCTACGGCGCGGCGGGCCAGGTGCCGGTCCTCGTGCTCCCCGACGGCGCGACGGCGATCTGCCAGAGCCGCGCGATCCTGCGCTACCTCGGCAAGATCGTGCGATACGAGGGCGCGTTCCTGTATCCGACGGAGCCCATGGAGGCGTGGGCCTGCGACGCGCTCATGGACCTCGTGGAGGACATGCAGGCGCCCATCCGCGCGACCCTGAGGGATCGCATCCCGGACCAGGCGGAGAAGGAGGCCGCGCGCGCGGCGCTCCTCGCGCCCGAGGGCACGATCGGCAAGTGGCTCAAGGTCATCGACGGCGTCCTCGCCGAGGACGAGATGACGACGCTCACGATCGGCCACTTGTACTGCTACTCGATCTGCAACCTGTTCCGCCAGCCGACGTTCCTCGACGGCTGCCCGCCGAACCTCTACGACGACTACGCGAACATCAACAAGCACCACGACTGGGTCGCGACCATGCCCGAGATCAAGGCCTACTTCGAGACCAAGGAGGGCCGCGACAACTTCAAGCCGCTCGCGCCGGCGAACGGCGCCGCGGCCGAGGGCGAGGCGCCCGAGGAGGACGAGGCCGCCGCCGAGGCGCCCGGGGAGGAGGCGAGGTAGCTCTCGTTTCGGCGGTCGTCGAAGGCGGGTTAGGCGCGGGGGGTTCCACGACGCGACCACGCCGCGACGCCTCGTCTTCACGTTCGTCTTCAACCATGCGTGCTTCCCATTCACGATGGTCAGGGGCAGCGGCCTGGCCGTCGCGCTGGCGGCGGCCGCGAACGTCGCCGTCGACCACGACGGCTCCGCGGCGGCGGCGAGCGGCGCCTGGGTCGTCTACCAGCCGCAGACGCGCTACGCGTCGGCCGGCGGCTACGGCGTGCACCTGCTGGCGGCGGCGCTGCGGCGGAGCGGCGCGGCCGTGTCCATGGCCTACGTGAGCCCGCGGCTCGCGCACGTCATCGGCGACGCGGCAGCCGTGGACGCCGTGAACATGAGCGAGGCGGCCGTGGCGGCGCTCTTCGCGGGCGGCCTGGGCCCCGAGGACACGCTCGTCGCGCCCGAGGTCGCGCCCGAGTTCGTCGTCGTGCCCGACGATGCGGGCATCCCCCACTCGCAAGGCACGTCCGACGACGCGAGCGTCGCACGCAACGTCGCGGCGCTCGAGCGGCGCGGCGGCGTCGTCGCGCGCTGGGTGCTCGGCGCGGCCGAGGGCTGGGGCGACCGCGTGAGCCCCGCGGTGGCCGTGCACGTCGGCGGCTCCTGGTACCTCCACGACGCCTTCGCCGGGTCCGGCGACGGCAAGCTCACCGTGCCCCTCGAGGCCCGCGTCTACGCGCGGGCCGCGGAGCGGCCGGCCGCGCGCCGCGAAAAGGCCGCGGACCCGCCGCTCGTCGTCTTCGACGGCGACATGGACGGCGTCGACGCACCGGACGTGGCCCGCGAGCTCGCCCGGCGCGGCGTGGTCGCGGACGTGCGCCGCTTCGCCGGCTACGCGCGCGAGGACACGTACGCGCTCTTCGAGGCCGCGGCCGTCTTCGTCGACGGCCGGCTGCCGGGCCTCGAGGGCGGCGTCTGCGAGTTCGCCCTCTTCGGCGCCGACGTCGTCATCGCGGCCACGGGCCACGGCGAGTCGCGCGAGTTCCCGCCGGGCCTGCCGCGGCTCGCGCGCGACCCGGCGACGGCCGCGGACGTCGCGGCGGCCGCGGCGCCGCGGCTCGCCGCGCGCGGCGGCGGCGCGGCCCAGGAGCCCCACGCCGCGGCCTACGCCGAGACCTGCGCGGCCTACGCGGCGGACTTTGGGCCGACGGTCGACGCCTGGCGGTGGTCGCGCGGGACGGCCTTCGTGACGTGCGCTTTGGACGCGGCGGACTTCGCGGCGCTGCCGACGCTCTTCGCGAGCCTCGTCGCGCGCCACACCTTCGGGACGCTCCTCGTCGTCGTCGACGCGAGCGACGGCGGCGCCATGGCGCGCGCGCGCGGCGCGCCCGGCCCCGGCGGCCGCGACGCGCTCCGGCGCCTCGGCGTCCTCCGCCGCCTCGCCGTCGCGGCCTGCCCGGCCTGCGGCGGCGACCGGGCCGCGCTCCTCGCCGCGGGCCTCGACCACGCCGCGGGCCGCCAGGACCGCACCGTGCTCCTCGCGCCGCGGCCCCTCGCGCCGACCGCCGCCGCCGTCCGCGGCGCGGCGCGCGGCGCGTGCGCGGTCGGCGCGGGCTTCGTCGCCTGCGACCGCGGCGCGCCCGTCGACGCCCGATCCGCGGCGGCCGCGGCCCTCGGCGGCGCGCCGGCGCCGGCCGACGACTGCGCGTCGCTCCGCGCGGGCGGCCTCTGGCGCGCGCTCGAGCCCGCGCTCCCGCGCGCCGCGGTGGCGGCCGCGTGCGGCGGGTAAATGTGCTGCGTTCGTGGTCTTTAGGCTAGGGAGGGCCTCTACTTGCGCTCCTTCTTGGCCTTCTTCTTCTTCGGCTCGTCGTCGGTGACGTCGATGACGCCGTTGTGCTGGCGGCAGAGGTGGGGCGCGCCGGTCACAGAGCCGAAGTAGATGCCGTTGCCGTAGATGTCCGTGAATTTGGGGTACATAGCGGGCTTTCCGGCGAATTGCATCTGGAATGAATGATCGCACAGGCATTCGTGGATCTTCGCCTTGCAAACGACCATGGGCTGGCCCACGGCCGTGCAGAGAACCGTCTTGCAGACACACGGATGCTCCTTCGCATTGCAGTTGCGGCACTCCTCGACGCCCTTTTTGCACACGCACGGCGCGTCGACGACCTTTGGTTTCGGCCCCGCGTCCGTGGGCCAGAAGTTCTGCTTCATGAAGAGCGCGCTCCCGAGCTCCATCTTCTCGCTCTCGACGCCCATCGACGTGCACAGCTCGCGCAGCTGCACGTAGAACTTGCCCTCGTCGACGCCGACGGCCTCGGCCAGCGCGTCGACGTCGTCGCCGAGCTTGCCCGTCGAGTCCAGGCCGGCCTCCTCGTTGAGCTTCGGGACGGCCTCGGACGCCCAGTCGAGGACCTCGCTGAGGGTCGCGACCGTGTCCTTCATGGACGTGAAGCCCACGCCGGTCATCTTGCAGAGCTCGTCGACGTTCTGCTTCAGGTTGCCCGCAGCGGCCAGGCCCGCCGAGGTCAGCATCTTGTTGACGTCGTCGGCGATGGGCATGGTTCCGAGTGCGCGGCGCAGGTGTACGGCGCGGGGAGAGCGGCACGGGTCGACGCGCACCGAGGGACGACGCGCCGGCGGTGTCAGCCGCAAGACCTCGACGAGGGGCGAGAACACCGGCTCGAGCGGCATGCTGAAGCGGAAATGAAGGAGATGATGAAGCATTTAATTAACGCGTGCGGCGGGTAAGTAGCTCGAGTTAGGCTGTGCGTCTCGGCCGGGGGGCCTGCCGCGGCGTGCCAAAGCGCCGGTCTGCCATCCCTCACGCGACGGCGGCGCCGCGGAGCGCGGCGCGCGGCGCGGCGATCTCGAGCGCGACCTCCGCGCGCGCGGACGTCGACTCCGTCATGAACGCTTCGCCGACGGGATCGTTGTTGTTCGGGATGTCCCAAAGCGTGCTCGGGTGGTCCTTGGAGTAGAAGCAGGAGCAGCCCGTGACCTTGAACTCGTTCTCGCTCCCGAGCCAGATGCTCATGTCGACGCCGTACTTGCAGTCGCAGGAGTTGCCGTCGGGGTAGGTGACCGTGAAGGCACACTCGAATTCTATGCCGTTGAACCCAAAGTTCTTGCCGCCGTGCAGCAAGAACTGGGGCGCGTCGCCGCCCGTGCCGCTCGACGAGCACTCGCCGTAGCCCTCCTCCTCGTTGAGCAGCTGGACGTTCGAGATCTCCGTCCCGGCGTCGAAGTCGCTCGTGAAACGCACGGACATGGCGGCGTGCGCTCCTCCCACGAGGCACGCGAGCGCGACGAACAGCTTCATGGCGTCGATGGCTCGGAAGGAACCGGGGGCAGTTAATTAAGGGCAGCATGGTCAATAAAAAAGGCACCTTGACGCAATTAATTATCAGTCCGAGCCGGAATAATCCGAGTCCTGGTCGCCCTCGGGGACCATGTGCTGGTACTCGAGGGTCCCCGCGCCCTTGCGCGCGGCCCGGTACGCGTAGCAGGCGCCCTCGACGAGCCAGCCCGTCCGGATGTGGCCCATCCACTCGAAGCCCGACCCGTCGGGGTAGTCCGAGCGCCGCTTGCCGCCCATCCAGCCGTAGGGCACCATGCCGTCGTGGAGGTCCTCGAGGATCTCGTCGTCGCCCTTGTCGTCGTAGCAGCTGCCCATGACGTCGTGGGGCTTCCAGGAGCTGTAGAAGCCGAGCACGAGGACGTCGCCGATCTTCATCTTGATCTTCCGCGGGATCTTCTTCGTGCCGCTCGGCAGGTCCTCGTCCCAGATGACGCGCGTCGTCTCCTTGTACATCTTCGCGTTGTCCCTGTCCTTGGTCTGCGTCCGCATCTGGATGGGCGCCGTCTTCGGGCCCGAGGGGCCGTAGCGGCAGACGCTCGCGGTCCGCCGCGTGAGCACGCGCCAGCGGCCGCGCTTCTTGGACCGCCGGCGCCCGGGGCACCAGGCCTTCCACTTGGGGCTGTGGTCGCCGAAGCCGTCGACGACGATCCTGATGCGCCGCGGCCGCGTCGCGGCGACGAGCTCGCCGTCGTCCGAGTCGTCCTCGTCCTCGTCGGACTGCTCGTCTTCGTCCTCGACGTCCTCCTCCTCCTCCTCTTCCTCCTCCTCGTCCTCCACCTGCTCGTCGGGGGGCGCGGCGCGCCGCTGCGCGTCCTCGAGCTTCAGCCGGGCCAGGTAGGCCTCGCGCTCCGCGGCGAGCGCGAGCGCGCCGGCCGAGCCCTCGGCGAGGACCCAGCCCTTGTTGAGCGGCGCCGGGACCCAGCCGTCGCGCTTGCACTCGACGCAGAGCCAGGCCTTCATGACCGTCGTGTAGGACGCGCGCGCGGGCGACACGTCGTCGCGGAGGCACGCCGCGCACGCGTGCGGCAGGCCCAGCAGCTCCTTGGCCATGCCCGCGGAGCCGTCCGCGGCGACGAGCGCCGCGCGCGCGCGGTCCTCGGGCACGTCCGGGTGCTTGGCCATGACGAGCTTGAGCCGGCCGTCCCACGTGTCCGGCCAGGGCTCGACCTCGATGGGCCCGCGCGCGGCGAGGTAGACCTCCGCCGCGCCCGGCGACAGGCACTCGAGCGTCACGAGCCACCCGCCGCCGCGCGCCGGGGCGACGCCCGCGCGCAGGTTGTCGCCGCAGGTCACGTCCGTGACCTCCTCGCCCTTAAGCTTGACGACGACGCGGTCGCCGACGTAGGCGTCGAGCGCGCCCGGCGCGGACGCCGCGTCGTCGAAGCAGTACGTCGTGCCCGCGCGGTCGGCCGACCGCGGCTCGACGTCGAGGAACTTGCGGCCCGTCCAGGCCCGCGTCCGCGCGGCGGCGCCCCGCGCGTGGAGCGGCGCCTCGCCGACGGCGACGGCGAGCTTCACGCGCGTCACGACGCGGCCGTCCGCGTCCTTCGCGGCCTCGAGCTGGACCTTGCCCTCGACGACGTCGGACCCCTCGAGCTCGTCGTCGCCGATGCAGATGATGCACAGGGGCGGGGCCTCGCCGATGGGCCGGAACTCGCGGCCGCGGCTGCAGCGCGAGCAGAACCAGGGGCCGGCGGCCTTGGCGGGCGCCGCGGGCTCCGCCGGCGCCGGCGCCGTCGCCTCGGCGGCGAAGACCGTCGTCGTGCAGGCGGCGCCCTCCGCCGTCAGCACTTTGACCGACGAGGCCGCCTTGAGCTCCGTCATGCGTTGCCGCGGAGGAGATCACCACCTCTGGGGGGCTGCCTGGGGCACGTCCATGCCAGAGCGGGCAGCGTTGGAGCAGCTCAACAACGGCTTCACGATCTTCACGCGCGAACAGAAGCCGATCCGATGTGCGTCTTGCTCAAGCAAATCCTCCGCGTGCAGCAGCAGCGCTGCAGTGCATAAAACTGCGTCTTGCTCAAGCAAATCCTCCGCGTGCAGCAGCAGCGCTGCAGTGCATAAACTCGCACATCGCGCGCAGCAGCAGCAGAAACAATGCGTCCTAGCTACGGCCTCGTGCTCGTCGCCGCGAGCGCGCTGCAGCAGAGCGCCCTCCACGAGGCCGTGCGGCTGCACCGCGCGGAGCACCGCGACGAGTGCGACGTTGCCGCGGCGCGGTACCGCGCGCCGCCGCGCGTCGTGGCCGACACCGCAACCATAGAGGACGCGTTGGCGCGCGGCGGGTACCGCGACGCGGACGTCTGGGCGGCGGAGCGCGTCTTCTCGCGGGCGGACGCGCGGGCCCTCGTGGAGGAGATCGACGCGCGGGACGACGGCTGGTCGACGAACCGGCACGAGGCGTGGCAGTCGTCCCGCGCCGTCGCGGATCTGCCGCTCCGCCATTTGCCCGGCGCGACGGCGTGGCTCGCCGAACGCTTCGCGTCGACGGTCGCGCCGCTCGTCGCGCGCGTCGTGCCCGGCGTCGACGCCGAGGACCTGAGGGTCGCCGACGCGTTCGTCGTGCGCTACGTCCACGAGGCGGGCGAGGCGGCGTCGCTGCCGACGCACGTCGACGGCGGGCTCGTGTCCGTGAACATCGGGCTCAACGACGCGTTCGAGGGCGGCGGCACGCGCTTCGAGCGGACGGGGCGCGTCGTGCGCGGGGGCGAGGGCTCCGTGGTCGTCCACCCGTCCGCGGTCCGCCACGCGGGCGAGCCCATCACGTCGGGCGTGCGCGTGATCCTGGTCGTCTTCTGCATCTCGCGGCGCGCGCCGGAGCTCTGCCGCCGCTTCACGAACGAGGGCATCGAGGCCGGCGCGGCCGGCGACGCCGCGGCGTCGACGCTCGCGTTCCGCCGCGCGACCAAGTTCGACGCCGCGAACGTCGCCGCGCGCCAGAACCTCGCGGCGAACCGCTTCAACGCCGGCGGCTTCGACGGCCTCAAGGCCGCGGCGACGGACCTGCGCCGGTGCGTAGCCCTCGAGGGCGGCGACGCGTGCCGCAACGTCGACGTGCTCGCGAGGCTCGGCGAGGCGGCCCACGCGCTCGGCGCCTACGCGCAGGCGCTCGCCGTGTCGTCGTGGCTCCTCGACGTCGCGCCCGAGGATTTCTGCGGCCATGTCGTCCGCGTCAGCGCGCTCGCGTCGCTCCTCGCGAGGCGCGACGCCGACGCGCGCGCGGAGCTCCGGTCCGCGCTCGCCGACGCCGGCGCGTGCGCCCGGTCCGCGGAGCACCGCGAGGCGCTCGCGGCGCTCGCCGCCCGCGCGGAGGCCGCCCTCGCGAAGGCGCGCTAAGACGTTCGAAGTGCAAGTTGCCGCTGAAGTTGAAATTTGACGATACCGCGCTCTCCGAGCGCAACATGCGACCGGGCATTTGAGGCAGCCCGAGCGCGTCGACCATGCTGTGGATCGTCCTGGCGCTCGTCTACGCGACGGGCATCGCCGTCGCGTTCCTCGCCGTCGTCGTCGGCGTCGCGAGCTGGAAGTGGCACCTCATCGAGGAGTTTTTGAAGCAGCAGATGGTGCTCGAGGCGGAGCGGGAGTCGATGACGCGCGTGACCATCGACCGCGTGTCCTGCGCCCCCTTCCGCGGCGAGTTCGCCTGCTTCGGCCTCACGGTCTTCGGCAGCCCCGGGGCCTGGGCGAAGCCCGAGTTCTGCACCGTGCGGAGGATGACGTGCGGCGTCACGTCCGGCTTCCTCGGCACGCTGTCCATGGGGGGCATGCAGAAGCTGCCCCTGACGACGCACGTGCCCTTCGTCTTCGGCTTCAAGGGCAAGATGATCGACTCCATGCACTGCGAGGGCGTCAAGGTCCACGTCGAGTACGACAAGGCCGGCGCGAGGTCGAACGTCGACTTCCTCACGGCCATGGACAAGCGCGACCGCAAGAAGTCCATGGCCAAGCAGCGCAAGACCCAGGAGGCGGAGCTGCGGTGGCGCATCCGCTGGACCCACGACAAGGAGCACCTGCGCAAACTCGAGCAGCGGCTCACGGCGCTCCTCCGCCAGGACCTGGCGGAGCTCGTCCACGCGGGCGAGGACCAGAGCCACGAGGAGCAGAAGGACGACGCGGACCACGCGGCCTTCATGCACGCCGTCCACGGCCACCTCGCGGAGCACGAGGCCCACCGCTCCGGCGGCCAGGCGCACCCGCCGAAGCCCTTCGAGCACCACCACGCGCACTTCCGCGAGAAGCTCCACAAGAAGCTCGCGGAGCACCGGGAGAAGAAGTCCATGCGCAAGACCTACGAGAAGCTCAAGGCGACGGACTTCAACGAGGAGCTCATGCACGTGGGACGCTGCGGCGTCGCGGACTGCGAGATCGTCCTCCGGGGCTCGCGGCTCGTGCTCGACGGGTCGACGGTCATGATCGCCTTCTCCGGGACCATGCGCCAGTTCCAGCGCGCCGTCGCCGTCCACGTCCTCAAGAAGACCATGTACGACACGCTCCACCAGCGGTCGTCCGCCGCGAGCCACCACTACACGGCCAAGCTCCACGGCGTCCTCTCCGACGGCCACGCGACGATCCACCGCGCGTCGACCAAGGCCAAGAAGGCCCTCACGGCCAAGTCCATCGCCCGCGCGCCCTACAAGCTCGCGAAGCGCGCGTCGACGTCCGCGCGGACCCTCTTCCGCAAGCGGTCCTCGTCGGGCGAGTCCGCGCGCGCGGACACCAAGGGCACCCGGTCCCGGTCCGCGACGAGCGACTCCCTCGACGAGGCCGACGCGCCGCGCGAGTCGAACGCGGACCTCGACGGCGGCGACGGCGGCGACGGCGACTTCGAGGACGCGGGCGGCAACTGCGACGCCGAGTGCACCGCGGACCCGTGACCGCCACCCAAAGCGCGGGGTGTCCGGACCCGCAGCGCGCGACGACACGCGAGGGGACGGACCCTGCAGCGTAAACGCAATTGACAACGCATTTTGAAGTGCACGTTGATGCGTCCCTCGCCACAGGTGCAGTTTTGCGAGAGCTGAGGCTTTGCTGCCGACGCGCGCGCGCAGCGTGAGCATCCACCCCGCGCCGCCGCCGATGGTGCTGTCGGACGAGCTCATCGCCGTCGTGAAGCGCGGCGACCTCGCGGCGCTCGAGGAGCACATGAACGGCGGCGGCGACCCGAATGAACGAGCTTCCGACCGCGACGTGCAATGCACGCTCCTGAGCTTCGCGGCCCTCGAGGGCCAGGTCATGGCCATGCGGCGCCTCCTCGCCCACGGCGCCAACCCGCACCTCCACAACTCCTACGAGTGGACGCCGCTCCACGTCGCCGCGGCCAACTGGCAGGGCGCGGCCGTCGAGGTCCTGCTCGAGGCCGGCGCGAAGGTCGACGTGCGGGCGACGACGGGCGCGACGCCGCTCATGCACGCGTCCATCCGCGGCGACGTCCGGAGCATCCGCGCGCTCCTCAAGGCCGGGGCGACGGTCGAGGACGCCATGATCAAGGAGGCGCGCACGCTCGAGCACCCCGAGGCCGTCAAGCTCCTCGAGGGCGCGCGCGCGAGCGATAGGATGCGGGCCTAGTCTTCGGGTTGGTCTTACGAGGGTCTGGTCAGTCCCGGCGCCAGCCCATAATGACGGCGACGCCCGCGAGGCAGAGCGCCGCGCCGATGCGGTCGCCCGTGTCGAGGCGGACGCCCTCGACGAAGCGGCCCCAGACGAAGGACATGGCGACGAAGACGCCGCCGTACGCGGCGTCCAACCGGCCGAAGGCCTCGCCCGCGGCCGGCGGCTGCAGCGTCATCACGAAGCCGTACGCCGCGAGCGCCAGCGCGCCGGCGACGCTGCTGCGCGCCCGCGCGCCCTCGCGCAGCGTCCGCCACACGAGCCACCCGCCGCCGATCTCGAGGACCGCCGCGGACACGAAGAGCGCGAGGCTCGTCGCGGCCGTCGCCGCGGTCCAGCCCTTCGCGCCGCCGCGGACGCCCAGCGGCGCCGTCTTGCGCGGCGCCGCGGTCAGCGCGGTCGCTCCGCTCCGTTTGGCGGCGGCGGTCGCGAGCAGTCGGCCGGCGGCGGTGCTCGCGAGCAGCCTGCTCCCGCGCGGCGCGAAGTGCTGCCAGCGCCGCTGGGGCATCATCGCTGAAGCACAGGCGCAGGCGAGGAGCAGCTTTGCCATGACTCGAGGCATATGTTTTGCAGTCTACTGCTCGTAGCACCACAGGAGCAACGAGCACGGCGCGTCGGCGTCGGTAGCAGTGGAGCTCGTGTGGAGAGCAACAGCACGATGGCTCGCACGGCCTCAACGATGCCTTCACCAAAGCGAGATGAAGCACATCTATGAAGCACCAAGTTTACCCCTGTTTTGCGATGATGCTGGCTGCCCTCCTGTTCGAGCGCGTGTCCTCGTGGGGCTGGCCGAAGGGGCCGCATCGCCGTCGCGCGCCGCCGCCGCGAGCTCGTCGACGTCACGTACACGCCGCGCGACCCGCCCTACGTGCCCCACGCGGACACAGACGGGCTACATCGAAAAGTTCGAGGGCACGGGCCCCAGCATGTGCGGCCTCCTCGTCCCGGAGTACTGCCGCGGGCCAGAGCGCCGTGGACGAGACGGCGCGCGACGACGCTGATGTTTGCGCGAGCAGTGATCCGAGAAGGCGCGAGGCGAGCTAGCTATGGGACTAGTCGACTGTTTGTAGACTCAGGACCCCATTGATCGCGAGCACCGTCGACACACGCAGAACTCGTCCTCGGTCTCGAGGAGCGTTGGCCGCGTCGGCCGCGTTCGCCGCCAGGCTCCGCCCGCCGGCGTCGACGCCCAAAGCATGGAACGTTTGAAGGCCGAGCTCGAATTAGCCTGGACGGCCACCGCCAACGCCGAGGCCGCGGCGCTGCGCCACCAGCAGGCCCTGGCGGAGGAGAGCGAGCGCGTCCTCGCGCTCGAGGGCGCGCTCGACGCGCGTCGCGACGACCGCGAGGCCATCGAGGCCGCGGCGCGGGACGTCGCGGCCCTGCGCGCGGCGCTCGGCGCCGAGCGCAAGCAGCAGGCGCTCTTCGCGCGCAAGGCCGGCGAGGCGGCGGCCCACGCGGACGGCGAATTGCGCGACGCGTCGGTGCGCGTCGAGGCCGCGCGCGAGGAGGCGTCCAGCTGGCGCGCGACGGCCGAGGCGCTCCGCGAGCGCTACGAGAAGGCGCGGCGCGCGTTGAAGGCCGCGCGGCGCGCGTCCAACGAAGGACCGGACAAGGAGAACGCGACGGCGCTCGAGGACGCGGCGCGCGCGGCCGCCGCGGACCGCGCGGAGGCGTCGCGGTGCCGCGAGGCCCTCGCGGCCGCGGCCGCGGACCGCGACGCGGCGCGCGCGGCGCGCGACGCCCTCGAGGCCAAGGTGCTCGCGACGCGCGACGAGCTCGAGGAGGCGTCGCGCCGCGTCCGGGCGGCCGAGGCCGCGGGCGGCGGCGCGCCCGAGGCGGAGGCGAAGCTCGCGCGGGCGCTCGAGGACGCCGCGCGCGAGCGCGCCGTCGCCGACGGCGAGCGGCGCCGCGCCGACGCCGCGGAGCGCGCCGCGGCCGCCGCGCCGCCGGCCACGCCGGCCGTCGACGTCGAGGCGCTCGTCGCCGGCGCGCGCGCGGAGCACGACGGCCTCCGGGCCGCGCTCGACGACGAGCGCGCGACGGCCGCCGCGGCGAACGAGGCCGCGCGCGCCGC